TGAATAATATATTATTTTCAGTTATTGTAAATCAGAACTCATGGATTGCATTGGTGTGAGTTTGGAACCCTGCTTGTGGCTTTTCTAAAGTACCATAAGAAAGAATCTAATGGCGCATTGACAAAAAGTAATGGTCTGAGACCACTTCATTTCCTTTCTACTTTCAATAACAGGATGATCGTTTTGAAACTCATCTGTGCAAAGAATTTGAAATTCTTTCAGACACCCTGAAGAGCAGAATTCTACAACAATGGAGGCAGTGAAAAAGGTTGTTCTGTGTGTGAAGGGGAGAGTGATCGTTAAGTCAACACATTTGCACTTCTTGAAAAATTGTTGAACCTCACAGCAGTGACTGTCAACCTATTTTAGACCGAGAGGGTGTGTTAATTCTGATGTAAAAATGCTATTTATATAAACAAATGTATAAAGAAAATTAATGTTTTTATTTATATCTATACACAGAACTTTGCAAAGATTGGAAACAGAGCCAGGTAGACATACACCTTTAAATACCAGAATAATGTAAAATTAGAAACACTTTAGGAACGGATCAGAAAGTGGCAAATTTTATGCCTAAATGGTTGAGCAGGGAAATGTTTCCATGTTTCTTATTTGGATCTGTTATATGAGCAAATTCATGGTCACATCAGAACAATGTCCATTTTAACTAGGGATGTACATTGGGAACATTTTCGGTTCAGCATTCCGAAAATCGGGGCTTCGGCAATTCGCCACTTGGAACTTCGACACTTCGAAATTTCTGAACTTTCGGCATTTCAGAATTTCGGGACTTCTGTTGCAGCCGCTTAGTAGATAACTCCCTAATTCCCACGGTATTAAGGAGTTATCTACCAAAAGGTAGATAACTCCTTAATACCGTGTATTAAGGAGTTATCTACTAATGTGTTTTACACCCCACCTCCTATAGAATGTAAGCTCGATTGAGCAGGGTCCTCTTCAACCTATTGTTCCTGTAAGTATATTTGTAATTGTCCTATTTATAGTTAAATCCCCTTTCATAATATTGTAAAGCGCTACGGAATCTGTTGGCGCTATATAAATGGCAATAATAATAATAATAATAATAATAATAATAATAATAATAATAAAAGGCTGAAAGACCTAAATTGGTCTTTCAGCCAAATTTACTAATACTAAGTAAAAATTACTTAGTATTAGTAAATTTTGCCCCTATTCGCTATACCGCGAGTAGGGGCATGTCTATTAAAAAGTGGGAAAAAAAAAGTCCCCCCTCCCGAGCCCCCACACGTGCTGCACGAGTGAGGGCTTTTGAACTAAAGGACCTATTGTCCTCCCCCCAGCCCCCACCCCTGAGTGGCGGGTGGGGACCTTAAAGTAAAATGGGAGTGGACCTACTGTCCTCCCCCCGGCCCACACACATGAGAGGCAGGTGGGGGCCCTAAATTAGAATAAGGGGGAACTATTGTCTACCCCCCAGCCCCCACCCCAAGCGGCGGATGGGGGACCTAAATACCAATAAGGGGGGACCTATTGTCCTCCCCCCTGGCCCCCACCCCTGAGCGGTGGGTGGAGGCCCTAAATTAGAATAAGGGGGGACCTATTGTCCCCACCCAGCCCCCACCCCTGAGCGGTGGGTGGGGGCCCTAAATAAAAATATATCTCGCTCCAGGTGACTAGGGGTCCCCAAATCCTTAGTCACCCCCCGCCCCAAAAAATGAATTAACCCCTACCTAACCGACTGTCATTTGACTCATAACAACACTCTGATTGGTTAATTGAAAGTAACCAGAGAGTTATGAGTCAAATTACACAGCATGGGAAAATTCAAAAGAACTTTCCCCCGCTGTGTAAAGTGACACAGAGAACTCTGATTGGCTGGATTTCAAGCTAACCAGAGTGCTGTGACAGGTAAATGTAGATACTTACCCGTCAGTCTCTTCATTTACTTGTCAGAGCACTCTGATTGGATGGTTTAAACCAACCAACCAGAGTGCTCTGAGCCTAATTGTAGGGTGGGGCAAGGCTTTATAAGCCTTCCTCCTCCCCTGCAGAGCTCAGTCTGCGCGGAGCCCTCCATGAGTAAAGATGGATTTTTTTGGGCTCAGGTTTTTTTTTTTTTCTTCAAACGGGGGAAGGGGGGGGGAGGTTGTTTTTTATTTAGGGCCCCCACTCGCTGCTCAGGGGTGGGGGCCGGAAAGGAGGACAATAGGTCCCCCCTTATTCTTACTTAGAGCCCCCACCCGCTGCTCATGGGTGGGGGAGGACATTTGGTCCCCTCCCTTATTGGCATTTAGGTCCCCCACCTACTGCTCAGGGGTGGGGGCAGGGAGGGGGAGGACAATAGGTGTCCCCCCCTTATTCTAACTTTAGGTCCCCACCCGCCACTCATGGGTGGGGGCCGGAGGGGAGGAAATTATTTCCCCCTAATTTAGGGCCCCCACCTGCTGATCATGGGTGGGGGGAGGACAATAGGTCCCCCATTATTTTACTTTAGGCCCCCCACCCACCGCTCAGGAGTGGGGGCTGGGGGGAGGACAATAAGTACCCCCCCTTTATTCTAATTTAAGGCACCAATCCACCACTCATGGGTGGGGGCCGGCGGGAGGACAATAGGTCCCCCCTTATAGGTATTTAGGGCCCCCACCCTCTGCTCATGGGTGGGGGCCAGGGGGGAGGGCAATAGGTCCTTCCCTCTTATTCTAACTTAGGGCCCCCACTTACCGCTCAGGGGTGGGGGCCGGGGGGAGGACAATAGGTCCCCCCCTTATTTTACTTTAGGGCCCCCACCCGCCATTCAGGGGTGGGGGCAATAAGTCCCCCCTTCAGGTTAGAAGCCCCCAGTCGTGCAGCACGAGTGGGGGCTCAGGAGGGGGGGACATAGGCTGCTCACTGTTTACTAGACATGCCCCTACTCGGGGTATAGCGAGTAGGGGCATAATTTACTAATACTAAGTAATCTTTACTTAGTATTAGTAAATTTGGCTGAAAGACTAATTTAGGTCTTTCAGCCTTTTAGTAGATAGCTCCCTAATACCATGGGAATTAGGGAGTTATCTACTTATTCATTGCTGTCATTCCATTGACTGGCTAAGTAACTTACATTTTATATGAATGTGTGTGTTACTTGATTGTTGTAAGAGTTGCAAATGCTTACAGCTTAATCCTGGCTATGTTTGTATACTTTTTATTTAAACTTGTATACATTGTAACATTCTTAATTCTTCCACTGGGTAGGTATATTAGTACTTCGGCAATACTGTGCTTCGGTACTTCGGCAACTTCGAAATTCGGCAATTTGGAACTTCGGCAATTCAGCAATTCAGCTATTCCCGAATTGCCTGAAATTTGTGACATTCGGAACGAAACGAATTGCACATTTCTAATTTTAACAAATAGTCCTCTTATCAAATACATACTAATGGAAAAGTGTAATCGCACCAGCACAGGTGTCCATTGTATTTATCCTTTTCTTTCTTTGATGTAATGGAAGGCCTTATAACTAGAGATGAGCAAACCCGTACCGAACATTATGTTTTTTTGGACCCCGAACACGGACATTTCAGTAACAGTTCGGGTTTGAGTTCGGTGTTTGGTGATTTTATGGCGCGTTTTTAAAAGCTGCAGGGCAGCCAATCAACAAGCGTTTGACTCGTGTGCCCTTAGCCATCACAGCCATGCCTACTAATGGCATGGTTGTGATTGGCCAGTGCAGCATGTGACCAAGTCTCTATATAAGATGGAGTCACATGAGCTCTTAGTGTAGGGAGAGGATGCTGCAGCTGTGAGGGACAGATTAGGAAAGAAATCTGATGTTGAATCTGCAAACTACAGCGATTACTTTTGTGGGTGCTATACTACATTTTTGTACCCTGCCCTGAGCCCAGTGCCACAGAGAAATAAGCAGTCTGTTTGTTAGGTGGGCACTTGCAACTGCATGTGTGCCAGGCACATTACTTTAATCCTGTTCTGGTAGCTCAGTGGGCAACATCTAGGCATTTTTAAATACTGCTGTGATATTGCAGTTTGACTAATTCACATTTTTTTGCTGCTAAACAGTTCATTTTCTGCCTGCGGTGCACTTCATATCTGAGAGTCAAATAGAACCGTCAAATACTGTGGTTACATCGCACTTTCAAAAATTCAAATTTTTTTGGTGCTAAATAGAACATTTGCGGCCTGTGGTGCATTTCTTGCAGTCCAATAAAACCCTTAAATACTACTCTTACATTGTTGGTTTAAAAAAAAAAAAAACACAGACACTTTGAGACAGTGAAGTAACTGTATTAATTACGCCTGTCACACTATTGTGTGACCTCTAGAATTTCTCTCTCCTTAGGACACCGGCACTGCCTTACTGTCAGTGAACTTAATTGTTGACTATTGGCGGTTACATTGTCACCTGGCATAAACCATCTGTTAGTTTGGGCCTGAGGCGGATATCCTTCTGCCACCAAGGATTGCAGGGCCTTTCTCTTTGCCTCCTCCTCCTACTCTGCTTCCTCCTCCTCTACCACCACCTCATCCGGTCAGCGTAACACCTTCACCACCAACTTCAGCACAGCCAGGGGGAAACGACAGCAGGCTGTTTTAAAACTCATGTTTGGGGGAAAAACCCCACACCGCGCAGGAGCTGTGGACTGGCATGGAACAGACCGATGAGTGGTTGTTGCCACTGAGCCTCAAGCCCGGCCTGGTGGTGTGCGATTATGGACGAAATCTCGTAGCAGCTCTGGGCCTAGCCAGTTTGACACTTCCCTTGCCTGGCGCATGTGCGGAATTTGGTCATGCAGAAATTCCTGCAAAACTACCCAGATATATCAGAGCTTCTGCAGAAAGTGTGGGCCGTCGGTGCGCGCTTTTGGTATTCTCACCCTGCTGCTGCTCGCCCGTCTTCGCTGCAGCGTAACTTCGGCCTTCCCACTCACCGCCTCATATGCGACGTGCCCACAAGGTGGAACTCCACCTTGCACATGCTGGAGAGACTGTGCGAGCAGCAGCAGGCGATAGTGGAGTTTCAGCTGCAGCACGCATGGGTCAGTCGCTCTGCACAAGACTTGCCCTCCAATAGATCCTCGTTAAAGGATTTAAAGTGTACTTATTTCAATTACAGGTCCTCAACAGAGTCATGTATTGTTATTTATCGTCACTACCTCCCCGCATCAGGAGTGGGTAGTTTGCGCGCCTGCTGCATTCCTTGGATATGGTAGCCGTTTCTCAGGCTCCCTTTCCGGAATCGAACCCTGTTTCCCCATTATCTGTGGTCCCCATGGTAGGCGCATAAAGTACCATCAAAAGTTGATAGGGCAGGCATCCGAATGCGTCGTCGCCGTCACGGGGACGTGTGATCGGCCCGAGGTTATCTAGAGTCACCAAAGTGCCTGCGCAAAGACTGACGAGTTGCCCACATTCTAACTTGTGCTGATTACTGGGTGGCCAGCCTGCTGGATCCCCGTTACAAGGACAACGTGCCGTCCTTTATTCACTTAATTCGGAAGATGCGCAACTACAAGCGCACGCTGGTAGACGCGCTGCTAAAGGCATTCCCAACTGACACCGGGGGCTCAGTGGAAGCACAAGGCGAAGGCAGAGGAGGAGGAAGAGGTCGCCAATGCAGCTGGGGCACCACCAGCACCTCAGAAGGCAGGGTTAGCATGGATGAAATGGGGAAAAGCTTTGTCAGCACGCCACAACAACCAGCACCACCATCTGATATGGAACGTCTTAGCAGGAGGCAGCATTTCAGTAACATGGTGGAACAGTATGTGTGCACACGCCTACACATACTGACTGATGGGTCTGTCCCATTCAACTTCTGGGTCTCCAAATTGGGCACATGGCCTGTGCTTGCCCTTTATGCCTTGGAGATGCTGGCCTGCCCTGCAGCCGGTGTATTGTCTGAAGGTGTGTTTAGCACGGCAGGGGGCGTTATCACAGACGAGCGCAGCCGCCTGTCCACAGCCAACGTGGACAAGCTCACATTTATTAAAATGAACCAGGAATGGATCCCACCAGACTTGTCTGTACCTTGTGCAGAATAGACATTTATACTGGCCTCACCCAGCCATTGTTATACTCAAGTGCACTTATTCTTTGTTTTCTTTTTTATATGTCCCAATATTTTGGGGGCTACCCCAATTGTTTGCAGTGCACTTGTCCAACTCTTAACCCCATTCTACTTCCTTTTGCAGCCCTCTAGCCCTTTCCAAGACTTTAGAGCCATTTTAGTACCCAAAAGTTCCGGTCCCCATTGACTTCAATGAGGTTCAGGTAAGGGTAAAGTTTGAGTCCGAACTTTAACTTTTTCCGATGTTTGGCCGAACACGGCGAACCAGAACATCCAGGTGTCCTCTCAACTCTTCTTATAATGGACTATTCAAGTAAAAATAAGGTGAAATCAGCTATAAGGGAAATATATGATTCATGTGGAAAATCTATAGGCAGGCAATAGGATTGCAGTATTAATCAAGACTGTCATTAGCATTAATGTAGAAACTATGATAAAATATATACCAATACAAAAAAATAAAATAAAAAAAAAGTTGCCCCTACACCATATTAATAACATTTATCATATTATTAATCACAAAATAAATTTAAAGTACCATAATGTCCAGGTATAATTTATCTGATACAATCCTAAAATATAACTGCTATTTTTACAATTACAAGGCGTCTTACTTCAATGTATCTGTAGTAAGAATGATTGCAATACCAACAACGTCAAGGATTTTTAATATTGTGTACTAGTAAATTCCTCTTAAAGATTACAAAATAAGTGAAGAATGGAATGATGGCCTTATTTGAGCCAACTGTAGATCATATCCAAATGTCAGCTGGCATGGTTTAAATGGCATTTCTGTAAGAATAAATTGAGTATTTTGTTTAATTATTAGATTATATAAAATTAATTAAGCAGCTCCTATAACTTACATAGCTGAGATAAGGTAATTAATTAGTATACTTTTATAATCATAGTAGTACAATACATATAAACAAACAACCACCAAAAAATATGCAATTGCCACAATGAAATGTATCCTTAAATCATAATAATTCTACAGGAATTGTAAGATTTCCTAAAATACTATTTGCAATCTAAAAGGCACACTAGAGTGTGATTATTAATATGTATAGCATAATTCAAACAGCTACTGGCAAATCTCCCTCCCCCAACAATCTAATTTATAATAGAAGTCTTTTTTTGCAATAATTATAAAATGTGTAAATGTGATATTCAAGTGACAGAGGAAGTATCCGTTGCCTCATTATCTTAAGTAGCTTTTAAACAGATTTATTGCATGGGTGAGAACATTTAAAACTTTTATTCCTGTCACCAACTGTCATAGAAAGCTCCTTCAGTTTTACACCTGGTTAATTTCATGCCCTTCATTTCCAAAGGGATTACCAAAACACTGTGCGTCTACTCTATCATCAAATATTGCTTGCCCTTAAAGATCACATTTTTTTCTCAGTAGCAAACAGGTTCATTTTTTTAAATACATTTTCGACAAAATGTATACTGCAGATCAGACAATGGCTTGACAGTTCAGGGAATATATACAATAATTATAAAAACTTTGCACATATTATAGAGTTCACGAATTATTAAAATACAAATGAATGGGTTTCAAACGCTAAATATTCTGAATGCTATTTACACTAAAATATTTTTTTAAACTATTGACTATCAACTATTGTTGATTACTAGTTTTGATTATTTTATTCCAGGTCTGCTGATGCTGTATAAGCAAGTGTGGCACATAGTGTTAACACATACAGTACACAAACAGTGTTATTCAGTAAAGGGAGGATTGTAGGGAATTCAATGTGAATTTAAAGTAAACTTCAAATTTAAGACCAAAAAACAAAAAAAAACAAAAAAAAAAAAACACCAACATGAAACAGAATGGACTTAAATTTTCTGGGGTGTTAACTAAAAATATATAGCCTTTCCACAGGTATGTGGAACATGTATATAGATAGAGAGAATTTTTGAAAAGTGGCAGTTTTAGCCTACATTTGAATTTGCTCTGAATTTAATTAGAATTCTTGACATATTATACACTTTAGTGGTTTTTCAAAAGTTTTTTTTTTTTTACAGTAATGAGGGCAAGTCACTGCCAAAAAGATCTCCTAGATTTCTAATAGTTGCATCCATTGTTTTGGATAGTTTTTATTATAATTTTAATTTTGAGGCTGGAAGGGGGCAATTTAATATTTTCTAAGACCATTTTAATTATGTTTGTTATTCAATGACAATTTGCTTCCAATGACACATAACCCTAAAAGGTAAATGTGATGATTATTAATAAGGAATAATTGTGGTACAGAATTATAAAAGAGGTTTGTAAAAAAAAAAAAAAAAAAAAAATTATATAAGAGAATGTAACTGTATTCTATCTATTTCCACAGCGAATGCAACATTTCTATACTTTGCCCCAAACAACTCATTTAAATAACCCCTTTCAGACTCCCAGAGCCACTTCACTTGGAGTAATGGGTTTATACATTATTGCTGGAAATACACTTAGAAAATGACGATTTAGCAGCCTCTTTTGCCATACTGCAATAGGTCAATGTAATTAATCTATCACACAGCTGCCAAACTCCTCTCTTGCAAAGCCATGAATGGATAAGAATGACAAGCATTTTGCATCAGCAAACGGCTGTCTTTTAGTTAGTAATACTTCTTAATATATGTATGTATCTGCATTAGTGTAATTTTTGCAAATGCAAGTGAGATATTAAAATAATCATAACACAAAACATGACAGTAATCTTTACTTGATTTGTGAAGCACCTGTGAATTGATTATCTTATCCATGTTAATTGAATTGTATATATACAAAAAAGTATACATATATAAAAATATACATATATTTAGAAAGACAAGTCATTTATGAGCAAGTGATAAAAAGTTAGGCTTTCACAAAGTTTAATGTTTATATAAAGACATGTTTTATTTTATTGTGTCTCTTTAAGATTAGTGCTATGCGAGTGTACCCATTAGGAGTAATGCATATTTTATGAAATGAAAGAGTAAGGTTAAGATATATACTGACATTCAGATTTGGGAGAATTGTTCCAAATCAGTTTTTTTAGCCTGGATTTTGCTATTTCCAATTTGACAGAATTTGGATTTTCAGTGCGCAAACCCAATTGTATGTCTAGTGCAAAGATTTCAGTATATCAACCATTGATCAATGACCCACATTAACTATATTTATTGCCTATTTAACTATTAATTTAACTGCAAAATAACTTTTAGAATCAAATTTTAGACATGCTCTTCTTTTGATACGCATCTTTGCTTGCTTCCAAGAGATGCTACTTGTTGAAATTACACAAACTTTAGATAACCCTAAACACTACCTAATCCTAATCCTTGCTAACACTAACCCAAACTAACCCTAACACTAATCCTAACAATGTGAGTGTTTAGAAGATTTGTCCTGAAGCTTAATTATCACTGTAAAATGCTGTCGGTCGCATCACATCATAGTATCAATGTAATTGACTGTCTTCTTGGGCTATTAGTGGATAGCCTTCCAGAAGTAGCACAATGCACACCACAATTGGGGCATTACCACAATACACACCACAATTTGTTTATTAGCAGAATACACACTACAATTAGTGCAACTTAAATTGAGTACTACTCCTGGCTTCCGGTGATAGGCATGTGATCATTGGATCCAGCTGTCTAGGCTATAACTTTCCTGGGGGTCCTCCACATGGCTGTTTTGAGATGCATTCAGACCAGCAAAATAATAGCACATTTAGTGGACATCACAAAGTGCATAAGTGTCAGCAAAGTATCCTGTGTAGAACTATCATGGAGGGTTTAACCAAATTAGACTCTTCCTTTGCTCATTATATTGTTGAAACATCATATTCAAATACCATCCACACGTTACTGAAACGTTTGCTTTTTAATCCACTCATCCAGGTTCAAGATAGCAAATCCCAAATGTTTTCAAAATTGCAAAGAAAACTAAGAGAGAGGAGCACAGTAAGAGGCAGAAGTAAAACTCACAACACTGACTCTATGGTCTCCTATAGAACACTAAACCAAAATAAACATGTCTAAATCCTGTAAAACTAATAAAAGCAGGCTTGCCTTTATACTTTTGTTTCAGGTTTATATAGAGTTAAGCCCTTGAAATCTACCTTCCAACCATTCTTTCAGGTTTGATTTCTTAATTAAGCCCTTTTTAAAATGATGTTCTAAATCCTCATTGCCAACTGTTAGTTGTTGTGCACTATTATTCCAAGAAGAGGGAAAGCATGGAACCCTAAATAAATCATTTTTACCAATAAAGTAAATTAATTGATTACACAGGTAATAATGTTGGGTTTCAAATCCTTTAAGTCTATTTCAGAATTCTATCCGTGCAACAAAAGAAAAGAGAGCTACCTATTATAAATACACACTACACCAGAGTGGTGAATGCACAGATGCATAAAGTCATAAAAAGCGTGTATTTAAAATTCAACATTATTTTAG